AAAAAAAAAAAAAAAAGATCCCTTTTAATCTCTAAGCCGGGCTTTCCTGACACATCACCTCATGGACTTGCTTTGAGAAGTAATCATCTGTGGGAAGAGTTGAACAAGTGCCTGACACAGTGAGTGTAGGTAGCTTTCCTGCCGCCTTTGGGTGTATGAAGATGAAGAGGCAATGTGCCTACGCAGTCTCCAGTCTCTCTCCCAGGGCTCCTCTCCCTCATGGCCCACACAGAGCCTGCTGCGCTCTTCTCTGGCCTCACCATGCCTGTGTGTAGTCACATCACTGCGCCAACAGGTTTAGCCAGCCTCATTCTCCCTTCTCCCTTTCTCCTTTTGGTTGCACTTATTTTTTAATGAGTTCTTCCTCTTGGACTACCTTTTAATGAAAGGAGCCCTGTCTTGTTTATTTTTGTGTCAATGCTACCATATCCGAAACATAATAGGAGCTCATTAAAACCTTGCAAAATAAATACCTAAATGAAAGTCATAGTCCATAAATGCTGAATCGCCACAAAAAGTACGTGCTGGTTATCTCTGTTGTTTTTATCAGCAGAAAGGAGCATGTGTATAGATCATCCAAAATAGCAGATACTACAGATAGTCTATATGTGTGGATGTTGCTTTGGAACACATATTTCTATTATGTTTCATAACATCTAATTATTTAAAAATATAAATGTACTATATGTTAGGTACTCTGCTGGGCACTAAAGGTAAAATTACACGCTTACTGTTAAGGATAAAATGAAAGCATGTGTTGACTTCATTGAGCTTACAGAAGAAGAATAGATCAGCAAACAAGACGTAGTATGTGTAAAGTGAATCACTGAAGTAATCCTTCAAATTGAAATTGCCCTGTATAAAAGAGATACACCCATTATCAGTAAGATTTGAGATGTCAAAGAAGACCCCTGGAAGTGGCAGAAGTTAGGTTTTCCAGGCCCAGGGCCCACACTAGTGGCCAGTGGAATCCTAGTGGCCAGTGGAATCATGCCGTGCCTTGTGAGTCCTTGTAAGAGATTTGGACATTGTGCAGGCCTTTACAGAAAGTCTTAAGCTGAGAAGTGACATGGTTAGTTCTGTTTTTTTTGGAAAGAACCCTCGCAACATTCCAAATGAGACAAGACTGGAGATAGAGGTAGCACTAAGGCGGCTGTTGCTATTTTCCAAGCAAGAGAACAGCAAAGCTTACCAATAATGGTGTATGTGAGACATAATTATAAACAGCCAACAGAAGTAACAGAATATGCTGTTCTGGGTAATGGCTGTGTTGGACATAGATAATCAAGAGCTGCCTAAATTTCCCAATGAGTAGAGTTGTTAGCTCTTATTTTTAATAAGAAAATGATCACTCACTCAGTTCATGTTGACTGCATCTTAATTTTAGGTATGTTTTATCTATCAGGTAGTATTAGCCTCTAATGTTTGTTTGCCAGTGCTAGGTATTGAACCCAGAGCTTAAATAAGCACCCTTCCACTGACCTACATCTTCAGGCCTCCTAATTTTTAAGTTATAATTTCTCCCTACTTCTTTTTTGAAGGAAGCTTCTTTTCTAAAGTGTTAAGATTCCTTACCATAATTACTTTTTGGTTTATTTATTGGCATACAATACATATTTCACTGGCTTGCTTATTTTTATAAGTTTCTTGAAAAAATGCCCATCTTTTGTACAGTTTTTTATCCCTTCACTCTGTCCCCTGCTTCCTACCTACCTTAGCATTAAGAACATAACAGTAAGTGATGGTCATTTGAAACGTCTTTGTTCGTATCATATTTGGAAGTGTATACATACATACCCCCACCGCATTCTAATTCTACTTCTTCCTTTCTCTCATATAACGTACTACCATGTCTTCTTTATAGTCCTTTGGGCATAAATTTAGAAATCAAGGTGTAAAACTTTCTCTACTTACAGGGGTACCATTGGAGTACTCCTTTAAATAGACATTTCCCTACTGTACAAGAGAAATCAGTTCTGTACAATTGATTAGTTAATGTAGCATAGTCATCCTGTATCATCTTCAAGAGCTTGATATCTTTTTAGTTCCCTTTCAGCACCTGCTATTGCATGAAGCTAAGAAGAAATCAAGAAACGGCAATAGATCTAATTTATGTCTATTTGTTACTCTTATAATTCTTATCCTGTCAGGAATTTCCCATGTGGCTTTTGAGAGACATTTCAGTCATGTGTACGTTGAAGAAAAGTAGGAAGGTCTGTATATACAAGCTGTATAAGTTAATGATTGGAAAAACTGCAGTGAAAGCTGCAGTTTAGGCCAAGATCATTTGTTTTCTTTTTTTCCCTTTTTCTTTTCTTTTTTACAATATTCTCACCATTGATTCTTTCCTTCACATGCATTGCATAACTGAATTGGACATATTTGCCACTTTTTGACTCCACCTATGGACTTGTCTTTCAGTGAGCTAAAAAAAGGAACCTGTCTGCAGTTTGCTGGCAGTGGAAATGAAGAGAATCGAAACAATACATATCCTCACAAGGCGGGTTTTGCCCAGCCCTCAGGTCTCTCTCTGGCCTCTGAAGATCCCTGGAACTGCCTGTTTGTAGCTGACAGCGAGAGCAGCACTGTGAGAACTGTCTCCCTGAAAGATGGAGCAGTGAAGCACCTCATTGGAGGAGAAAGAGATCCCATGGTAAAGCAAGTTGCTTTTATGGTGTGCCCAGACACTGACCGTGCTAGTAGTTTTCTGAATTGTGAGATTTTATGATGAAATCTAGGGTAAATCATTCTTGGCCTGTCCATGCATTAAAATGGACATCAAATAAAAGGAAATGTGAATATAAAGAAACACAAGGCCATCTAAGAAAAATAATATCACTCGTTCGTGTACAAATGTTAAAGCCTCAGGGAAAAAGAAAGGCTAAAATATTCATCACTAGGGAGAAGAGAAATATCTGCCTTACACAAGCATTTAGCAGAGAATTGGAAAAGAGCACCAGACTAGTACACTTGACCTCTTCCTGACCACGTCCCAGAACTGTTGTGAGTAAAACAACAATGCACCAAAAATTAGCACGGACTCAAAATTCTGTAGTCTGCATCCAGTATATTATGAAAATCAGTCCTTCCCCCTTAAAATTGAATAGCACATTCAACTGTCTTAATTTTCACTTTATAGCATAACACTGTAAAAATTTTAATAACTGCTGTTTCTTTTTCCTTAAAAAAATAAAAGAATTTATTTGCTTTTGGTGATGTTGATGGAGTAGGCATTGATGCAAAGCTTCAACACCCACTTGGAGTAGCGTGGAACAAGAAGAGGAATTTGCTTTATGTGGCAGACTCCTATAATCACAAGGTGAGTCTTCACAGAATTATGTACTACGTGATATCCGTCCATGGTATTCAAAAGGCTGAAATATCTGTGTGCCTCTTGCAAGTTCTATTCTAAAATATAGAGAAACAATGGCCCTTGGCAACCTTTTGTTCTCTGCTTCTCTTGTTCTTTTTTTTGTCGAGAGATTATGATGTTATCTGAACTAGGGAAGGCACTAAACCAATTCCAATGGATATGAGCTAAAGTTGTGAATCACTTAGTAACATATTCAGGAAATAAGAGAAGGCAAGTAACAGGGGAAATGATATCTATTAAAAGATGAATGTTTTTGAGCTGTTGCATATTTGTAGTGCCTGGTAGCAGATAATTCCATTGTCAGCAACATTTCTATTTTTGTCTCTTCAGTTGTTTTGGGTTTTATTGCATGTTGCTTTTTATAAAAATCAGTGATCATAAATGTCATACTTTGTGGTGAGAGGCCATAAATTGCGCTCACTGAGATAACTGATAGTCATTAAGTTTAATAAAGGTACAAATCTTCAGGCAGTGCTCATGAGAAGTTCAGTAGTGAAAGTGTGCTCCATTGTGAAGAAAAACAGTAAAATTGATTCATTTTAATTTCATCCAAGATCACTTCTAGAGAACATAACTAGTGATTTTATAGTTTTTGGTCTTAGAATATCTCCCCCTACACTGTATAATTTGAATGTTTGGCTTTTCAAGAAAACAGTAAATTTCTACTTTTTTCTGAGATCTGCTAATAATTTAATAATTTGGCAGTCTGGATTTTTCTTACTTTTTTTTGATACTGCACCTTTCCATACGACAAATATGAAATTGGTCTTCAGATAATAAATATTTTGTTCCTTCTTCAGATTAAAGTTGTGGATCCAAAAACAAAAAACTGTACAACATTAGCAGGGACCGGAAACACAAATAATGTTACTAGTTCCAGTTTTACTGAGTCAACTTTTAATGAACCAGGAGGCTTGTGTGTTGGAGAAAATGGCCGATTATTATATGTAGCAGACACCAACAATCATCAGATTAAAGTGATGGATTTAGAAACAAAAACAATTTCTGTGGTAAGTCACGTTAAAGCATAAATTAAAGGTGTGATTTCGATGATGATACTAAAGGCTACAATGCTTAGAGACATGTTTAGTTAGACACTCTGGTGGTGAAGTTGACACATGTAGATAGCCTAGTAAGTGAGTTCTTTGTTGTGTTTTGGTTTCTTTTGTTTTTGATAACTAGACGAACATGCCTGTCTTAAGGATATACTGATTCTTGGAAAAAAGTTCTGTCTGTGCTGAAATTTTGAGAAAAAGATTCTGGAAGCCGGGGAGAATTTGATGCACTTTCAAGAACAAAAGGAGAGGGACTTAGATCCGTTTCTAAAAGTACAGACACACTTGCACGTGCTTCACACTGGTACCATATGGGTTGGGTTACTCAGTGACCCTTAGAGCATCATGAAGTCTTTGTATTATTTATTTTTTATTTTATTATTACTTTTTTTTTTTTTGGTACTGGGGATTGAACTCGGGTCCTTGGGCTTGCAAGGCAGGCCACCGAACAGCTGAGCTAAATCCCCAGCCCACAATCTTTGTTTTGTATGGTGACTCTCTTACCAAATAATCTTCCAGAGTAACATTTAGAAGTTGTATTTCTGGAGACACTGAAGATTGGGAGAAAATAAGTTACAGTCAATTTTTAAGAATATAGACAGGGTCTGTAATAGAATTTTCAGTGAAAAATGTTGATTATAAATTACATTGATGTATCGCATTAACCTGAAAATAATGCAGGAATTTTTTCTAAAATTCTAGTAATTTGCAAGACATTTTAAAAATGTTTTTGAAAGATTGAAGAGTCATCTCTCCTCACTAAATCTGATGTATGAATATGCCAAATAACATACTTGATAGTGAAAATTATAAGAGATTATATGTTATATCCACTACTTTAAAATTCACACAATTTTTATTTAATTTCCTGCCATCTATAAAGATATTAGACATTTTAATTATGTCTCCTTCATAAGTCTTGGTAATCTTTTTGAGGGTGAACTATTTTTCTGTACCCACTAAATAATTTGGAGGGTATCTATGTAAATGCCTAAGTCAGATTAAAATGGCAACTAGTTTCACTGATACAGAACTTTTTTTCTCCTAAAGTCTGAAAATAAGTTCTCTTACTCAAGGTATTTGTGCTTTAAGAACAGATTTTCTGATTTCCTAGTTGCCCATCTTCAAATCTGAAAATGCTGTGGTAGATGGTCCAGTGCGCCTCGAAAAACCAAAGACAGTACCCAAACTACCTAAATCTGCGCCACACATCAGGCTTTCCCCAGTGACTGTTTGTCCTGTTCAGACTCTTCAGTTCAAACTCAGACTGGATCTCCCACCAGGAACAAAGCTGACAGAAGGAGCACCCAGTTGCTGGTTTCTAACCGCTGAAGGTATGCATGTAATCTTGTAAATATTCAATAAATTACTGATGTTTAACCTAATAATTTTTCTCTCGTGTTATATTTGTGATAGTTGGGTAAGATTTAAAGTAGCTTGTAAGAAGAAATTAATCCAAATTTAACTCTACTTTGGCACTTTTCTGTCATCTTCAGGAGTTTTGCACCCCTTTATGAGAAAACGGTAACTCACTGAAAGTTACACAACAGTCGTTAGCAGAGCTTCTTTAATTACGGAGTTACCCGTCTCTTCCCTAACCTTGTTCTTCATTTTTGTTCCTAAGAAGAAGCCCTTAGGTTAAAAATACCTGAAAAGAAAACTGAAGTGGAGCCTCCTTATTTAATCTTTTTCCATAACTCTTCCTTCTAGTCGTGTTTATGCAGTCCTATGACACAGTAAACAGTGTTTCGGAAGTGAAATAGTGATGGTCCAGAACCCTGACATATGACTTTTTATCTCAGATGATCTTCTCCCTAGTCTCCCACGCCCTTTCACATGTTCTCACTCAATCTTTCATTTCCTCTTCAGCTCCTCTCTCATGCCCTCTCACATACTTTTTTGTGTATTACCCAAATCCTGGCTTCATGCCTTTTTACCTTCATGTATTCTCAGGGCAGAAGCCACTGGGCTACAACTGTCCATTCAGAATCCAAACCAACAGGACAAACAGATCTTGGTGGAGTAGCCAGGTAGACTGCTGGTTAGAGTTTGAGAGACTGGCACTGAGTGAGTGACTGACTGGGATCCTGTGGGGAAACCACTCCTCTGACTCTCCACAAGGAGACAGCTGGCCACCTAAGTGTGGATGGGGCTGGCTTTGTGGATAGAAGACTACTGACTCCCTGACCAGCCCTCTGTGGGCTCATAGCGGGTTCTACACTGCTGGCTTAGTGGTTGTGACTGTGTCTGTAGGTCTGAAAAGAGTGCATCATTCGGAGGGAGAGCACTCATTTAATTTCTCTTTGAGTAATTAAAGAGCAGTGTATTTATTTTTAAAAAAGGTTATTGACAAGTTAACATTTTAAATTCTGCTTTGTTAAACTCTTAAATTAGTTAATATTAAGTGTTTGGGATGTAAAATACCAGATAGTATTAAAGTAAACTAGGCTACAGGGGCATTGCTGAGCTATTTTAACCCTTGTCCAAAGTACTGACTTTTTATATATATATATATATATATAGAAACAAATAATAAGCTTTTCTGGCAAGACTTTTAATAATTTTAAGGGTTTTGAAAATTATTTTATAGAGTATATTTGTATATTTATGATTAAAGGATATTTTCCCACTGGGGTTGGTTAGTTAGAGGCTACTATTGTGAAGGTGGTTAGACTATGTGAAAGTTTTAAGTCAAAACAAGCAGCATGAAAAAAATGACTGGCATACTATTACTTCACAAATCCTAACTGCAATATATATGAAAAATATCTAAAGAAATATTTCGTGTTTTATTTCTAGACTTGAATATTAAAATAGTTTATTATTTTCCTGTGCTAATTTAAAATTTAAGAAGTTCTCGATTCTTCTCTAGTTAAATGAAGAATTAAATAAAGCATACTTCCCAGTCCAGAAGTAAGCAAAGAAAGCCAAAGAGTTGTGAAGAGAATTATTTAAAAGCTCCACATAAAAGCTCTGCACTTAATTCTTCAGATTATTACCTTTCACCTTCTTATTTCTTTGATTCAACATAGTTTTCTCAAATCTGATTTTCAACAGAATATTAGCAATAAAATGAAGGCGATACAGAGAGGACTGATGGAGGCAGGTCCTCTGAGTCTGTTGACTCATCCTAAGGGGAAACCAGGAGACCAGCAAGCTACAGTGTTGACATTACATCTGTCCCTCCGCAGTGAATGCTCCAGGTTTTGTACAATGCCCGGAGTCATTGATAAGTCATAGATTAGGGTCAGTGTGCTCTCTTTCAGATGGCAGGAGAGCATTTCAGATATTTCCCAAATCTGGGTGCTGATGCCCTCTCAAATGTCCACATAATGCAATGCTTCCTCGGTAGGCACAAGTATTCATTCAGAGAGAAGGCTCAAGATGAAAAAAGACAGAGAAAAATTAAAATAATAGAAAAATTGTTAGTGGTTTTTTGAAATTTTTTCAATAGATATTTAAGTCTGTATGTTAAAGTCTAGGTAGAATTTCATATATTAAAAGGTAAATAAAATCTCTTAGTTTCTACTTTAACTCAGGTTATTTGCAGTGTTACCATTTTCTAAAGAAATGGCTGGTTTTTTGTTATTCTTGGATGTTTCAGAATTCACAATCTCAACTAGAAAGTCACTATACAGTTGTACATCCATTTGTATTCCATTAGACAAACTTCATTTCTAGTTTTTATATTTTATCCTTAAATATTTTTATCCATTTGATAAAAATGATCTACCTCACTTATCCTGTTTTTTTGTTTGTTTGTTTTTTTGTACCAGGGGTCAAACTCAGGACCTGTGCTTGCAGAGCAGGTGGCAGCACCACTGAGCTACATCCCTGGCCCCTATTTGTATAACTTATTATTAGATTTTATTTTTAACTTTGGGCATTAAGGATCTAGAGCCATCTTTGCAATACTGTTTGATTTCAATAAAAATAAGTTCATAATTTATTTTACAGTGTCTAAACAAAAGGATAATTGTAATAATTAGATGTAGTGATCTTCAAACTGGGAACTTCTCATAGGCAGTCATTATATCGTACTCATACTTAGGTCCTTTGTATAGGGTAGACTGCCTGGCACCTAGAGACTTTTGTTGACTGAATGGATACTGTCTCCCTTTGATTTTTTTTCCAGTTCCCTGTTTGTCTTCTTATGCAGTCTTAATCATTTGCTTTTTTTATTTTCTAGGCAATGAGTGGCTTCTTCAAGGACAGATACCATCTGGAGTCATAGAGAACATTTCCAACCAACCAACAATTTCACTGCAAATTCCTGGCAATTGCTTGTCGCTTGAAGTAGTTCTATCTATCAGCGTGTTTCTTTATTACTGTAGTGGAGACAGCAGTGCTTGCATGATGAAGGGAATTTTATTCAGTCAGCTTTTACGGATAACAGACACACAAGCAGGTTGCATTGCTCCAGTGGAGCTCAAGCATGCCTTTTAGCAAGTCAGCCAGCAGCCACTTGCCATAGCCCCCGTCCTTCATCCCTGACTTCACTGTAACTTAGGAGAAAAACTATTTCTGCCTCTGGATGAATGTTGCTCACTTCTAACAAATTAACTTAAAATAAATCTATGTTCTTTATTTAGGGTTTTAGTTGGTTTTTTTTTTTTTGTACCGAGGATCAAACTCAGGACCTTGAGCTTGCAAGGCAGGCAGTGGAACCACTGAGCTAAATCCCCGGCCCTATTTATCTTTTATTATAAGGAATTCCTTCATTCTAGCTCTGCTTTCTAAATCATTGACCATCATTTAAACCGTGACAGTGTAATCTGTGCAAGACTTGAGTCCACACTGTAGTAGAAAATACTATCATAAGATAATTTGCAGTGAATACTGAAAATAGTACCAAGCATTTTAAAAAACCTTTTAAAATAGCATTCAGCATATTTGAATATGTAAATTTCACAGTAACTTTACACAGACCTAACTAAGCTCCAGTTCACATTTTTTGTATAAGGATGCTTGCCATTCAAGGCATTAGGTCTGTTTTAAGCCAAAAAAAATTTTAAAAGTATTTTCATTACAGTAGAAACTTAAAGAATATGAGTGGTTACATATAATCTTTATTTTCTTCTGTGATATTCTCAGTTGAGATATTTTTAACAGAGTTTCAATCTATTATAAATTATTTGTTGTTTTAGCATAGCACTATTAATGACTTATAACTTTATGTAGAAAAAACTGAACAGAGACTCTCTAAGGGGATGCAGACCCACTCCTTTAACTGGTGTGGTGGTGGTGGTGGTGGTAATGTGGTGTTTGTATTTTCATTTGAATGAACATATTCTCATCAGATAATGATGGGTCCCCAGAAATAATATGACTTTCAAAGAGAAAAGACTTAGGACACATTACTGTCTGTGATAAAGAAATTATTGTGACAAATGAATCTGATATAAATAGATATGTATGTTATTTTAGAAATTTACATTTCACTTAAAAGCATTAAATTCAGATTTGTTGGGTTTTGGGGTTTTCTTTGGTACCTGTATTCAGAATTTAAATTATGATCATTCATTGTGATGTTTTTAAAAGTCAGATTTAAGCCTTCAAATTGGAATTTTCAATGTAAAATACTGCATATAGTTAAGTGTAGTATAAAATATTAGGACAAAAACATATAATGATTTCTTTACACTGGTTTTTGGTTTTTATTTTTTAACCCAAAGGAAACACTCACTGACTATTAACAGCTCTATAAAATTTGTTGCCATAGTTTTATCATCTTTTTTTTTTTTTTTTTTTTTTACAGTGAGGGTTTTTTAGTTTCG